GGCCGTCTGACAGAAACTGTTCTTTTCATTAGTCTGGTTTAGGGTTATTCCATGTTGTCCAATGTTAGTAACAAGGAAATTAATATTCTGAATGTGATGTCTGCTTCAAAACATAACATTTGTTCATTCTTCTTTATTCTATTTGGTTCTTCTCTTCAATTATTACTTTTCACAGCAACTTTCAAGAATAAAAGACCCAAACTTATGATAGATATTTATGCAAAAATGTAGTTACTCCTTTATACCAAATACAACTAACGGCAGGATTAAATAATTTAATTTTGTTGTATCCTTAAAGAGGTTACAAACAGACGAAGGTGGTACTCGAGTGAAGGAACAGTAACGTGCATGCAGACAAAAGAAGAGATGTTTATTGTAAAAGAGAATACACTACTGAAAGACAGGAAATCGGGTGGCAGGCTAGTAATTCCCGAAGCAAAGTTATTTTCCTCACCTCCCCGCGAGGCAGGATGTGGCACAAGGTCGTTTTTAATGCGGGGTTAAAACCGAGCAATTTTGGGCTCGGGCAAAAATTCCCCGTAGACCTTATAAAAAAGGGGGGTCGGGTAGCTGTCTACCACCCAAGACGAGACTCTGCCCTTCGGCATAGCCTCGTCTGGGTTCCTCTCCGCTCAAAGGCAGGGAGTTCGACCAGCTTAGCGGGAGACGAATCTCTAACTAATTCCCAAAGAAAGGTTATTTACCTCACCTCCCCGCGAGGCAGGATGTGGCACAAGGCCGTTTTTAATGCGGGGTTAAAACCGAGCATGTGAGCTCGGGCAAAAATTACCCGTAGACTCCGTAATGATTGGGTCGGGTAGCTGTCTACCACCCCAGACGAGACTCTGCCCTTCAGCATAGCCTCGTCTGGGTTCCTCTCTGGCCGAAGGCAGAGAGTTCGACCAGTTCAGCTGGAGACGAAACTCCAACTAATTCCCAAAGCAAGCCTCCAGGTATATCCTGTGCTCATTATATATAGGTACTGATATAGTCAGTCCACATAGGCAATAAAGAATGTGGGGCATTCCATTACAACAAAAGATGACAAAAGTCTATACAGAGATGATGACCTTATATGTAGTATATGTTTATAAACTTACATAAAAATTCGTGATGGAGTGTTTATTTTAGCTAAACTGCATATACAAAAGGTGAAATTCCCACGGGCCTGGTTATTTCAGATAGCACTTGTATATTTGGTATAAAAGATAAAACTGAAAATTTCCAATTGGCCTGACTATTCCAGACAGCTCTTGTATCAGGTATAAGAGATGAAATTGAAAAATTACAATTGGCATGTCTATACCAGATGGCACATGTATTTGGCATAAAGTTCAATTATTTCTATTGGCCTGATTATTCCAGATGGCACTTGTATTTGATAGAAAAGATGAAACTGACAAATTCTGACAGGCCTTACTATACCAGACGACACTTGTATTTAGTATAAAATGAGTCAGTTCAATCATTCCAACCGACCTGACACTTGCAAATGGCAGTTATATTTGATATAAAATATCAAACCGAAAATTTCCCACCGGCCTGACTATTCCAGATAGTACTTTTACGTGGCACAAAAGAATATTTTTACAGCTTCAGCACAAGGTTTTGTTGTTCCTAAGTTTTGGGCAGATATTTAGAAAATGGTAATTTCTCAATGACTAAATAGAATTGTGAGAAAGAAGAGACAGGTAGATGTAGAGATCCAAGATTGTCGAGGATAAACTACGTCCAACAGCAAGACCTGATCAGGAGGTTTTGAGGATCGTAGATCCACCTCTTAATTGCTGGATTGTCGAGGAACTGAAGGTTTGGTTTGGTTTGTTTTACGGCATATCGACATCAATGGGTTATTTAATGTCGACAAAATTTTGCTGGTAATATTTTTTTGTCAAAAATCTATTTCTGGTAATATTCTTCCTTCAAACGTATATTGCTGGTAATAGATTTTTTTTCTAGAAAAATTCATAGCTGGCAATAATTTTTTACGAAGTATTTCTGGTATTAAAACCTATTTTTACATTTTCATAGTGTTTTTACTCCAGTTTGAGGGTTAACTATTTGCCTATAGCTTGGACTCTAATAGGTGCTACCACCCCGGTTCAGGGTCAACCTGGGAACACCAGATATTAAGAGGTGGATCTACGATCCTCAAAACCTCCTGATCAGAGGTATTGCTGTTGGACGTAGTTTATCGTCTCACCCAGGACGCGGATGTAGTTTATCGTCATACCCAGGATGGAATGACCTGATGGAACATGGCCTATAAATGATAATGAGCATGTAGAGGTTTAAATGATACAAGTTAGGAAAATGGTAAATGTTATTTAAATGCTGTTTTTTTTTTGTGTGTGTTGAATGTGTAAATCGAGTTGGTAGTCAAGTCATGGCTGGTAACCATCTATTTCTCTCCGAGCTTTCATTTCTCTCTCTTTTCAGTAGTTCATTCATTCATTCATTCATTCATTCATTCATTCATCGAGAAGACTAGAGTCTAGCAGCCAATCTCTCTTCTTATCTTTCCGTTCTCTCTTTCTTTTTCTTTTCTTCTCACTTGTTCCTTTGCCTCTCCTTTTTTCACCCAATCTTTGCATTCTTCTCTCTTTTTTCACTTCACTGTCTCGTCTTTCCCTCTCTCTTTTTTAATCTCTTCTTTTTTCTGTTCTTATCGTCTTCTTTATTTCTATTTCTTATCGTCTCTTCTTTATTCCATTGCCTTTCCTTTTTCTCTTCTCTATTTTTTACTTTCTTTCTCTTACTCTCCATTTATTGATGTCACTTTATTCCGTTTCTTCCTTTTCTAAAAGAATTCTGCACAAAATAAAAAATACAACGAATTTACTGTCAAAATTTAGGTTTTTTCATCTTCTTTCTCATCTCTTTCTTGCCTTTACTATCCTTTTCCTTTAGAATACATCAGTGCTTCTTCTTGGTTTAAAAAAAAAAACTGTACTGAAATTTATATTTAATCAGAGATATTCACATATTTTAAAATGCATCAGTGTTTTGTTTATAAGAGTAAGTTTTGTTGCCAACACTGTGGTTTGAAACTAGATCGCCAGTGAGTAACATGAGTGATTCCATTACTAAGTAGATCATGTGATCATAACGGAAGTGAATAAATAGGAATTAGCGTGATGACTATATGATAACTGTTCACTCTTCTTGTCTTATGCACTATTGCTATACGTTCACTCTCTCTACTCTACTACTATACTCACGATTCTTTACTGATCTTTATACTATTTGGCGATTACTACTTGAACAAGTATTACTAGTATGAATATTATCGGAAGGCGTTACTACTACTACCGGCGTCGTCTACGAAGTCACGAATATAACGAGTATTTTTGAAAGTGATAGCGGGCTTTCGCTTAACATAGTAAAAATGACAAGCAAAGCTGTCCAATATCACAAAATGTTTCTTCTTGGTTTAAAAAAAAAAAAAAAAACTGTACTAAAATTTATATTTAATTAAAGATATTCACAGATCTGTGCCACGCAGTAAAATGGTAAAAAAAAAAGAGTTCCTGATATAATCACACCGCATTAAGAATGAAGAGAACATTTTTCTTTCTATTAAGGTGTAATTGTTATCAATCTGGAAATTCGCAGGTGGTTTAGAGCAGTGCTACTCAAACTGGTTTTCCGCTGACTGATGCTGGTACATGAACCATCAGCTACCGGTCCGCGGCCAATGTCCAGGCCATCCTAAGGAATTATTTGAAGCTTACTTTTTTATTGCTTTTTGTATATTTTGATATTGAATTATTTTATGTAAAACAAATGGAAGTTAAAAAAATATTCCACTTTTATTATACTCATTATATACATCGTTTCCAGTATAAATTAATATCACCACAAAATATTACAGGTACATGACACATTGAGAAAAAAAATGCCGGTCTGCCATATCAGGTAGTTTGAGAAACACTGATCTACGTCATCTGAGTGAATATTAAACTACCTGAAACCGCCTATAACATCCAGATTATTTTACCTATATTTTAGGAAAGGCGGGGATATTATATGCCCATAATTCAGTATTTTATAAACAAAAAGAAATATGCAAGTTAAAACACATCAGTAGTCGGTAGACTAACAGATTTAGTACTTGATGGTACATACCCTCTTCATTTACTATTTTAGAATTATTTGGTTAAGGTAGGTACAAGTAATCGATGTCTACCACGTCTCTGATCAATATTAGTCAACTAGATAGCTGAAATTTGCTTTCAGGATCGGGAAGATATTTTTCAGCCATTTTTATCTCGGAAAACGAGATATACCATAAAATAAAATCGGTCTGACTACAAAACAAATACTAGCATTGCTGACGTCACCCTCCTACGATATTATCTATTACACTTGTATAACATTGTACAATTAGAGTAACACAAAATTTATTGCTTTTTATATGTTTTGATATTGAATTGTTTTATGTAAAATAAATGGAAGATAAAAAAATAGTCAATTTTTATTATACTCATTATATACATCGTTTCGAGTATAAATTAATATTACCACAAACTATTACAGATACGTGACACGTTGAGAAAAAAAATGCCGGTCCGCCATATTAGATAGTTTGAGAAGGACTGATGCAGAGGTTCTTGACAAGTCTAAAATAAATGTCTATTCTAAAATAATCTAAATACATGCATGTCAAAAACAAAAAAAAAAAAAAATGAAAAAAAAAAAGAAAGAAAAAGGAACACCTGCAAACATTCGTTCTTTTTCAAAAGGAAAGAAAATCAGTTTTTCATTAAAATTTAAATTTCACTTTGCTTTTATCCTTTGTTTCATTAAAGAAAATCTGTAAACTAATGAAATATTTCAATTTCATTTTTTTTTCCATTTTTGCAAATATTTGTTTAAACTTTGAAAATTTATTACGACTTATTTACTTTTTTAGAACTCGGTTTTAGGGAGTTTAATTCACTAGGGAATTCGTTTTTGACAATTATTTTACCTACAAAATTTGAAAAATGCGTTAATTTTCAAGAAGTGAATGTCCGATAAATTAGGCTACTTAAAAAAATGCATGCTTGAAATTCTTTTAAATAAAAATAAAACTGACAGAAAAAAATGATTGGAAAACGGAAGAGAGACAATGTGATGGAGAGAACAATCAGTAAAAATAACAAAAATGAAGAAGTGTGAAGAAAAAAATGAGAAAGAAAAAAGAGGAGAAAAGAGAAAAGATTGCAGAGAAAGAGATGAAATAGAAGAAAGAGCAAAGAAAATAGAAAAGAAAAAAAACAAGAAACAAATGATAAGGAAATGAAAAGAAAAAGAGAACAAGGAAAGAGAAAAAAAAGGAGGCAATCAAGGATGAGGTAAAAAGAAAGAGAGAGAAATGAAAAAAAAGAAAAATGAAAGAAAGAGAAATATGAGGGAAGAAGTAAGAGAGATGAAGGAAAAAAAGATGGGAAGAACAAGAAAGAGATAAGTATGAAAGACGGAAAATGAGAAATGGAAAAATTTGGAAAGAAAGTGACAAGAAAGAAAAAGGAATAAAGTAGAAAGTAATAGGAAGTAAAGAGAAAGGAAAAGATGATAAATGAGGGAAGAGACAAGAATCTAAGAGGAAGAAAAATAGAAAATGAAAGAGAAGAAGAAAAAAGAAAGGACACACAAAGAGAGACAAGAATGAAAGAAAGGTGAATGTTGAATAAAGAGAGAGACAAGAATTAGAGACAGCAAATAGAGGCAAACATTAAAGAGAAAGGAACAGACAAGATGGAAAGAGACAGGGAAAGAGAGAGACATGAATGAAAGAGACAGTGAGAAGAAAGAGGCAAGAATTGAAGAGAAAGGAATGGACAAGATGGAAGGAGAGAGATAAGATGAAAGTCACAGAGAGGAGAGAGAGACAAGAATGAAAGAGAACGGAATGGACAAGATAGAAAGAGACAGGGAAAGAGAGAGAGTCAAGAATGAGACAGAGAAGAGAAGGAGGCAAGAATGAAAGAGAAAGGAATGAACAAGATGGAAAGAGACAGGGAAAGAGAGAGACATGAATGAAAGAGACAGTGAGAAGAAAGAGGAAGAATTGAAGAGAAAAGAATGGACAAGATGGAAGGAGAGATAAGATGGAAAGTCACAGAGAGGGAGAGAGAGACAAGAATGAAAGAGAAAGGAATGGACAAGATGGAAAGAGACAGGAAAAGAGAGACATGAATGAAAGATACAGTGAGAAGAAAGAGGCAAGAATTGAAGAGAAATGAACGGACAAGATGGAAGGAGAGAGATAAGATGGAAAGTCACAGAGAGGAGAGAGAGACAAGAATGAAAGAAAAAGGAATGGACAAGATGGAAAGAGACAGGGAAAGAGAGAGACATGAATGAAAGAGACAGTGAGAAGAAAGAGGCAAGAATTGAAGAGAAAGGAATGGACAAGATGGAAGGAGAGAGATAAGATGGAAAGTCACAGAGGAGAGAAAGAATGAAAAAAAAAAGGAATGGACAAGATGGAAAAGAGACAGGGAAAGAGAGAGACATGAATGAAAGAGACAGTGAGAAGAAAGAGGCAAGAATTGAAGAGAAAGGAATGGACAAGATGGAAGGAGAGAGATAAGATGGAAAGTCACAGAGAGGAGAGAGAGACAAGAATGAAAGAGAAAGGAATGGACAAGATGGAAAGAGACAGGGAAAGAGAGAGACATGAATGAAAGAGACAGTGAGAAGAAAGAGGCAAGAATTGAAGAGAAAAGAATGGACAAGATGGAAGGAGAGAGATAAGATGGAAAGTCACAGAGAGGAGAGAGAGACAAGAATGAAAGAGAAAGGAATGGACAAGATGGAAAGAGACAGGGAAAGAGAGAGACATGAATGAAAGAGACAGTGAGAAGAAAGAGGCAAGATGAAAAGAATGGACAAGATGGAAGGAGAGAGATAAGATGGAAAAGTCACAGAGAGGAGAGAGAGACAAGAATGAAAGAGAAAGGAATGGACAAGATGGAAAGAGACAGGGAAAGAGAGAGACATGAATGAAAGAGACAGTGAGAAGAAAGAGGCAAGAATTGAAGAGAAATGAACGGACAAGATGGAAGGAGAGAGATAAGATGGAAAGTCACAGAGAGAGGAGAGAGAGACAAGAATGAAAGAAAAAAGGAATGGACAAGATGGAAAGAGAAGGGAAAGAGAGACATGAATGAAAGAGACAAGAAGAAAGAGGCAAGAAAAGAGAAAGGAATGGACAAGATGGAAGGAGAGAGATAAGATGGAAAGAGAGAGGAGAGAGAGACAAGAATGAAAGAAAAAGGAATGGACAAGATGGAAAGAGACAGGGAAAGAGAGAGACATGAATGAAAGAGACAGTGAGAAGAAAGAGGCAAGAATTGAAGAGAAAGGAATGGACAAGATGGAAGGAGAGAGATAAAAAGAACAGATGGAGAGAGACAAGAATGAAAGAGAAAGGAATGGACAAGATGGAAAGAGACAGGCAAAAAGAGAGAGACATGAATGAAAGAGACAGTGAGAAGAAAAAGAGGCAAGAATGCAAGAGAAAACGAACGGACAAGATGGAAGGAGAGAGATAAGATGGAAAGTCACAGAGGAGAGAGAGAAGAATGAAAGAGAAAGGAATGGACAAGATGGAAAGAGACAGGGAAAGAGAGAGACATGAATGAAAGAGACAGTGAGAAGAAAGAGGCAAGAATTGAAGAGAAACGAACGGACAAGATGGAAGGAGAGAGATAAGATGGAAAGTCACAGAGAGGAGAGAGAGACAAGAATGAAAGAGAAAGGAATGGACAAGATGGAAAGAGACAGGCAAAGAGAGAGACATGAATGAAAGAGACAGTGAGAAGAAAGAGGCAAGAATGGAAGAGAAACGAACGGACAAGATGGAAGGAGAGAGATAAGATGGAAAGTCACAGAGAGGAGAGAGAGACAAGAATGAAAGAGAAAGGAATGGACAAGATAGAAAGAGACAGGGAAAGAGAGAGAGTCAAGAATGAGACAGAGAAGAGAAAGAGGCAAGAATGAAAGAGAAAGGAATGGACAAGATAGAAAGAGACAGGGAAAGAGAGAGCCAAGAATGAAAGAGACAGACAGAAGAAAGATAAAGAAAGAGACAATATCAAAAGACACAGACAGAAAAAGAGATAGAAAAATGAAAAAGCAAGAAAAAGACAAGAAAGAAAGGAAAAAAAAGAAGAGAGGAGAGAGGAAAAAGAGGATGGAGAGGAGAAGGGAAAAGAATTTATGAGGGGAGGAGAGAAAAGGTGACTGAGAGGAGAATGGAAAAGGATGAATAAGAGGAGAGAGAAAAAGAGCTGAAAAAAGAAAGACCTGAAAACAGAAACATTAGATAAAATAAATGACGAGAAATAGGCTTTCTACAAGTTTTTTTTTTTTTACATTTTCTTCACATGAATATGCATTGGTCATAAAAATATAACAATTAAAATGTTCCTTTGAGAAATGAATCTTTTCTTCCTTTGCTTAAACAGACTACATTTTGCCAACACAACAAAGCATTAGTGAAATAGTTAACTGTTGAAAAATCATTCTACATCTGTGCCGATTTCTTTTACATTATTTTTTTTTCTTTTTCTTAAAGTGATGGGTTGGGACTAGCAGGAATTAGATTTGTTCTGTTTTTCTCTTTGTTGAACAAATCTACTCTTTCCTGGACATAAACTTCTCCATTGTCTACTTTCACAGACTATATATCTTCCTGGATAGAAAACAGCATTCTAAGCCAAATAAAACAAAACAGTAGGCACTAATAAACAGATAAAAAAAAAAAAAAAGACAGAAATAAAAATCAGTGAAAATAATTGTAAAACAGACGAATATAAATCTTCATCTGTTTCTTGATAAATAGTTGACCCTCAAAATCTTTGTTTTCATTTCTCTTTTTAAAATATTTTTTTTTTTGTTGGTTCTGGCTTTTGTGTGCCATGACCTTCAGCTAAATTCTGTTGCTTGGCATTATGTGTTAAATCCAAAAGACAGTCTCTGGGAAGAAGCAAAGCATTATGGGAAATAAGCTGTACTTTTTTTTTCTCTTTTTTAAAGTCTGAGTTTGCTTGTAGGATTATTAGTCTTAAATTACTCTTGATCTCGTCAATGAAATAAAAATATATTTCACACCCAAAGCATATTACTGCATATTTTTTAAGAAGCTGAAAGTAAGTCATAGGAACAAAGTCCCTGAAAGTTGCAAAAGCAATTACATAAGAAAAAAAAATAAGGGGACACCATCTGGTATGTTGAGAAGAAGAATTGACAAAATCAAAAAAAAAAAAGAGGTCGAACAAAAGAAGTAAAAAAAAAAAAGAAGTAAAAAAAGGAAAATGAATGAATGAAGAATGGGAATAAAGTATAAAAGAAAAGAGAAAAAATGAAAAACGAAGAAATAAAAAAGAGAAATGAAAGAGAAAAAGGAAAGGAAAAAAGAATATATATATATATATATATATATATATATATATATATATATATATGTATATGTATATATATGATGTGCAAAAGTAGATATACAGTAACAAAATGAGCACAAAAAATGTATTGTATTGATTATCCAAACATATCAATGTAATATCAATAATATTGATATGTTTGTGTACTTTTTGTGTGCATACTTTGTTATTTTATACCTACATTTGCATCCCTGTATACACACACACACACACACACACAGACACACATATATGTGTGTGTGTGTGTGTTTAATGTATATTTGGGCAGCAAGCTTTCTTTTAAGTATCTTTCGTTAAATATGATGGACAATGAATTTTTTTTACTTTTTCTAGCATTCTTACATTTTTCTATTTGGTTGGAGTGAGGGATTACAAAAGCCGTCCATACCATCCATTGTCCCAACTATCTCTTTAGTCATTTTCAAACTAAATAAAAAAATTAATGTTTTGGTGGTGTTAATTTCTTTTCATGGCTTGACTGCATGAGATATATCTGTGAGTTTTTGTACTGTAGTAAGAGCGTGTTGGGCTTGGCTGGCATTCAAATGGCTGACTTTCTATTTTTTTAAAAGACTTTCATTAGACCACTCCCATTGTTAAACAAGATGAGGTTGATATTGGCAGAGACATGTTTGATGTACAGGGCCTCTGATATATGTTTCTATATGTACGTTTGTGTCTTTAAAATTATATTGATATTATATTGATATTATCTTTTGTGAAGGTTATTTTTGGCATCAAATTTATGGCCATCATATAAAGATAAAGAATAATACTTACTATATCCTTACTTTTTCAGCATAACATATATATATATATATATATATATATATATATATATATATATATATATATATACACACAGACTAAAGTTCTAAAGTTTGAGGCACTCCTGGTAAATTTTTTTAATTGACCCAAGAAGTAGTTGCTTTGAAATTAAATAACAGAATTATTATATATGGTTTTGAAAAAAAAGTGAGACATGATTTTTTTATTAGTAATTTTATTATGACAAAAAGAAAAATGCATTTCATGATTAAATTTTGCTCTTATCAAAATATTCTCCTTTAGCCATGATTACTGCAGCAAAAATTTTTGACATTTGTTGCAAAAAAATTTCTCAAATTTTAAGTTTGATAATTGATTCTATTCTTTTTTCAATGATTCTAAGAGCTTTTTTTAATTTTTCTCTTCTATCAAGTTCATCACGTGCGAATTCTGGGGTGAGTTCAAACTTTTTGAATTGTAGTATATATATATATATATATATATATATATATATATATATATATATATATATATATATGTCATTCGCAGACATTACTGTTTTGCTGTATCACAGCTCCTCAGTGTGACTAGAAATCCGAATACCTCAAGCCAGGATTGAAACCCAAGTGATCAGTCAGAGTTTCTACCACTGAGCTATCTTCATCTAACAAAGAGAAACAACTAAATCTAGTGTATGATGGACTCTCTCGTTGTTTTTGAAGTATCAGTGTCTTTCATGTCAGTTTTTTTCATTTATGTTTCATATGTGACAAAAGTCCTGCACGGGATTTGCAAACAAGTCCACATGAGGGACATGCTGGAGGGTTCACTGTCATATGATCTGAATAATATATATATATATATATATATATAATTATTTATTTAAAAATTATAACTTAATTATGTTATAAAATCTCTACAAAAATAGCCATTTTGTTTCAACACCTCTAGTGTCTTATCAAGTGATGGTGTTGAATGTAGAATAAAATCTTGATAAGACACTGGAGGTGTTGAAACAAAATGGCTATTTTTGTAGTGATTTTATAACATGTTTATGTTATAATTTTTAAATAAATAATTATATCTGCTCTACTATGTATTGAGCACTCTTTTAAGAATAGTAATTGTTGGTTATTGGAATTTATTCCGTATACACCAATCCTATACTTGTGTATATATATATATATATATATATATATATATATATATATATATATATATATATATATATATATGTGTGTGTGTGTGTGTGTGTGTGTGTTCTTATGACAAAGAAGAGACATTATATGTCTGCAGAATTCAGTAAGAATTTTTTCACATATGCAAATAATTTTTTTACAACTGTGGCTGTTGTAGATCTAAAAACATAGCCCAAATTTACATTAGGTCCAACCTTCCAACTCACATGAGTCATCATCAGGAATTTGAGTAAGTAAAGAGGAAGAAAGAAAATCAAATACATTTAAATGTTTTGTCATATTTTGCTTGAAAACTAAATCCAATGCATTTGAACGCAGTGTCATATGTCATCAATGTGCACCAGTGACATGTGATAATGTGTAATTTTTTTCTTATATGCATTAAAGAACACTGAGTTTGAGATTATAATGATTCTTATTAATGGATCATTGCTTTCTGGTAAATAGAAATAGCATCAATAATAGTCTATTTTGCTATTGCATTTATGGAGTATTGATAAAGCTCTCTAATAATATTTTTAATGTGTACTTTTTTCTTAATGTTATTGTTCTTGTTAATGTGTACTTTTCTGTTAATTGTACTTTTTCAAATAAATGGAATGTGAGGCTGTATGAAAGTGTGGTTGTTGTGTAACCTAAATAAAATATATTTTGTTTATTCTTTACAAAGATGTAATTTATAGGTTCCTTCTAAAGTCTACTTTTCCTATATAATTCTAATGTCTCTTCCTAAACTCTGAAATTTTATTAATGATGTATTTATATATATATATATTTTTTTTTTTCTAAAATTTATAATATTTATTTATTTTTTATCCACAATACGAGTAAATAGTTTCACTCATCATCTGGTTCATACTCCTTCCCAGTCTTTTGATGAGAGAAGACGTTTATCTCATGTTTCCTGTTTAGGATTGGGTTTTCGGTTCCTCATAATGTCTGCTTCAATTCTATGCTTTAAAATCTCTGCTTAAAATCTAACATATTATTTTACTAGTTATTTATTTTTCCTCAATATGAGTAGATAGGTTCACCTATCATCTGGTTCACATTCCTCCCCTGTCTTCTGGACAGGAGTAGAGGTTTATTCCTCATTTCCTGTTCAGGATTGACTTTCCAGTTCCTCCTAAAGTATTTCATTTCTCTTTCACTCCCAGTAGCCACTTGTGTTTTAGTATTACGGTAAGTCAAAAAATTATCTACACTTTCTTCATATCTTTAGGTTTGTCATACTGACTACTGCTCATGTGTGCTTATAGTGTGTACTGTTATGGTCACATGACTGAAGTTTGAGTTTGATCACACCAATTTTCTTGCTGCTGTTACTGTGTAAACATGGCCGCTCCACTTGCAGTGTACACTGTGGAGGAACAAAGAGCAAGTATTTGATT